GCCAAACATTTTATACCTAGTAGGCTAGTTATCTCTGTAACAATACAGTTATAAGTACATTTTAAATTCTTAAGTATGCCAGTGTCTGAGCAAAGTTGGATTCATTTTTAGGAAGGTGTTTTAAGCACGGAAGTCAGGATGTATATTCATCCTATCCCATTCCTCCAATTTACCTGGAGAGAAACATGTTTGATACTTGTTCTGAAGAACCACCACATTTGCTAGGAACCAGAAATCTTAACATGTGCACGGGAATAACAATTTATGTGGGTTTTTTTTACTACTTCTATTAGCAAGAACCAAACCTGTGCTATTCAATATATATGCAAGCTCCATTTCAGTTACCAAGAAAGATAAACTGCAACAACTGCAAATCAATAGCTCATAGTATCCCATGATGGACAGTTTTAACTGTGTTTCATGTATTGAAACACAATACTACACACTATAATTTTGCACACTTGGAAAATATTGCAGGCCTTTGCTCAGCTTCACTCAAGTCTGATGATCTTACCCACTGGTGCAATCCTACACACTAAACAAATCCAGTTTGCAAACTTCAAAAAAAGAGGTAAGAGCACCCAATGTGAAAACCCAAGTAAATGCAAGTACTTGCCAGCTAAGAAATCATTTTGTGCAAGGAAAGTTGGTTACTTTGCAGCAAAGACTTTTTTTTTGTTTTTAAACAAAGAGAAAGTTTCCTATTTTTATAACTTCATGGAAGCAAGGTCTGATTTATGCTGCAGTCTGGGTTGCTGAGCATTTCTGAGCAGAAGAATGGAAATTTTCACAAGCTGAATTAATACAATTTGCTATCCGTAGCTTAAAAGATCTGAACAGCTTAATAAATTTGTTTTACAGTCCTTTATGTCATAACAGTCAGTGTTACAACCATGACTCTTTCAAGCTAGGTGTATGTTTAGTTGCCATGAGGAAACAGAAAAGCACTCAAAACAACTCCCCCAGTCTGTCCTGCAATTTTTGGATTATCTTCAGGCTTCTAAAGAAATAGCCTATTAATAAAAACTCATTAATCCACAGCACAGAACTAGAATCTTCAAGATCTCCACAGACATTCATTTGCCAGGTCATCCTTGCAGCATGCATTCAAAGTTATCTTCCCAACACCAGGGGGTTGAAAATATCCTTGAAAAGGAAACAGCTTTTTTTTTTTTGGAACTTAGTTCTGCAAGAAGAGACTGATTCTCACAGAACACTCAGGGCTCCCAAGCCAGTTAAACAAGATGATAATTAGGTGGCTGACAAACACAACAGGAAAAAAAAAAAAAACAACAAAAAAAACCCCAAAAAACACTTAAGTAGTCTATTTTTCATACTTACAACTTCATGTGTACAATTAAAGATACACTCATAAACTGATTTCTGTAGTAACCTACACCAAAATCTGATGTGATCAAGAACAGGTCCAAATAAAGCAATTAACTGTTCAGAGTAATTCCTTAATTTCATATTGTTTCTAGCCAGAATAGTCTCCAATTTCACACATAGATCGACTGTAATAAACAAAAAACAGCACTTCATGTTCAAAGACCAGAATTGTGGGGTCATCCTAACTGCATATGCTTACATCAGCAAGAAACTTTTTATTTAAGCTGAAAATTCAATCCCAAACTGAAGAACTTCGAAAAGAAACAAAATATTTGATTACATTATATAGGACATCAGAACTCACAGCTTCTCAGACATGCTCTTGATGTTAACATGAATGTTACCTGCAGAAGAGTGGAAACCTTGCTTGGGTGATAGAAGCACATTCATATGCATTTTATAATAAGGTACTTGAAGGCCAAAAAATGATACCATGTTATGAATTATGCATTCATTTTTAAAGGTAACTTCACCAACTGAACTCTTACTTATAAATACTAACAAAAATCTGACAATCAGTACTGTTTGCACTTTGATACTTAGAGAGACATACCACAACAAGGCAACAGCTTTTACTCTAGTCCAAACCATTTTAAAAGGCTTCACCACAAAGCCAGAGAGTTGCTTGAGGACTGATGCTTTTACTAGAGAACTATAACATTTACACCAGGCCCTTCTCACCTGCAGTCTGAAATTCAGTAAACCCAAATGGAGATGGAGTGCTGATAAGATTTTAAATTAAGTTTAAGAACTATTTCATTGAAGCAACACTCAGCAGTCTGAATTACTCCTGTAGTAAACTCATCTTCGTTGTTTCTTAATTTATTACAAAAAGAGTTCAACTAAGAGACACTTGAGCACTGATATTTTCTTACAGTACTGTTTATGTACTTGCTAACCAAAGTATAATTAAGATATTCCATGTAATAGGAGTTAAAACTTATCATTAAAGTTCAGAAGAGCTGCCACACGGTGGCGGTAGATGCCTCCAACTCGAACTGAGACAGGAGGTACTCTTAGTGTCTCATTTTCATTTTAAATGTACATGCATTACCCAAGTATCACTTTTGAAGTTATGAGAAAGTTAAATTGAGAGGGGATAAAAGGGGGAAAGGAGGACAAAAAAAAAAGAAGTTCTAAGTCTTTACCAAAACAAAGTTAAAATTGCAGTGAAATTACCATTGAAACAGTAACACAAATCCTCCCGGAATATTAAACTGTGCTGACGTATATATTAAGTGAATTAGATTACTGAGTTACTAGATCCCCACTTGTGATTGAGGCAGACAACAGAAACTATTCATGATGGTTTTATTTTAAACTAAAGCCATAATCCTATGAAAAAATGTAGCCCACAATCTTAAAAGAAACCTGACCTGAGTTTCATTAGTATGCTATGCATCACTAGCTGAAGTCTGTAACTGTGGTTTTACTATAAATCTTATCTAGCTACAGCTTGAAGAGAAACCTTCCTTATTGCAAAGCAGCAGGTACATAGTTAAGGAACAGAAAGCACTGTTTTTAAATGCAAGGCTACTTAGGAACAGCAGCTAGCATTGAGAATGTTTAAGACTTGGCAAGTGTTCCAGAGAACCTTTGCACATGCACCCCTCAATATCCTCTGCTCTTTTACACAGGGCCCCTGTAAACCCATCTGATTACTAAGAGTATTGTCAGGAACACACTGCAACAAGGCTGTGCAGCGTGGGACTGTGATATTCTCATACTCTGTAAGCACACAGCGTTGATACCAGGGTTTAAGTAGTGCCTAACACTAGCACAACAGATTAAGTATTGCCCGAAGAGGCCACATGGAGAAATTTTCCTACTGATCCTCTCCAGAAGTACACACGTTTATACATTCCAAACTTCCTTCTACTATTTATTACCTCCAGAGCTAAGTAAACAACACCACGCAACTCCCAATTGGTTTTACTCCACAGAAAGCTGCAATGACCTATCAGCAAAATCATTCCCAGAGCTACAAGAAACAAAAGATTAACACGAGCAGCTGGAAAAAATGCAACAACTTGGCATGGTTTTAAATTGGGCAGTTATTGGTAAAATAGGTCAGGCAAACTACTGACTTGGGCTCCAATTTCTTCCTTAGGTACTGAACTTCAGACCTAGGTAATCTAAGTTTCATCTTCTTCATCACTTAGTTCAAGTAAATCCTGCACACATCATCTCAAGTTGAAGTGGTCCAGAAGAGTATTTTGCAAAGCAACTAGCAAAACAATAATGCAGCTCAAGTACTTCTTTTATTACTGAAGTCTTCTGCATGACGTTTTTCACCAAGACAGATGCTGAGAAAAACACACTCAGATATTAATGCGGTTTGAGCCGTTCCCCTCAATGAAAAGCAAATGAATGAGTAGAAACTAGTATTTCAAAGAATCAGGCAGCAAATACAATATAACACCTCAAGAACCTCTGCATCTGCCTGTAGGCAAGTTACTTCTCAAGCATACAAGGTTGCACAAAGTGCCCTGAAGTAGAAACACAGCTACTCATTGAGTGTTTTGGGGATTTTACTGAGGATTATCCCTAGCTCAGTCCTATAAACTAGATGCCTATTAGCACATGATTAATATTAGGCATGCTCCTGGCCTAATATTTAAATCAAAGAAGTGCAGATGACCTTGGAGACTATAGTGCACTGTGAAGCAAAACACAGAAATGGGTGTGCCTGGATATTCACCTGAACAACACACCACTGACCCAAACTGAAATGCTTATGTTGACCTACACTAGCACAGTCACAATATCAAGTAACTAAAGCTTCATGTAGTTTCCTAAGTATTACAGACAAAATTGCTCTCTTCCCAGATGAAAGCGACCTTTATCTTGATGACTATGATCTTACATGACACAAAAGACGATGTGAGAGCCTTACTTCTAAAAGAACACTTCAAGAGGGGAATTTTAAAAAAATCATCACTCAGCCAATAACTTCAGAGAACATTTCTTTGAGAAGTCTTGAAATGAAAGCAGCTCTGGTACTTCTTCTATTTTTCTACTCAGCTGTTTCAACTCAAAATTTTATAGCTTAGAAAGCTATGTTTCTTACCTGGTAAGTGCACACTGCTATAAAAGACCCATGAAGACAACACTTAAACATGAGCTACTTGGAATGCAGGTTGGTGCTACTTCAGGAAAAATCAACTCCATCTGCTCTTACTGGTAACACTTAAACATTAGGCAGCATTATACTTACCAGTTAAGAGTACTGCAAATATTTTTTCCTAACAGAACTCATATATGTTTTAAGAACAACCTAAGAAAAACTTTACTTAGCTTTATTTATTTAAAACCAAGAGTTAAAAGATTGCTACGACCTTTAGAACATGATGCCAGAGTTAATTACAGAACAGCAATGAATCCTAATAAAAACATTAGAATCCCACATTCTAAGTATAGTCCCTGTCCCTGGGAGCCAGCTGTGCATAGTGTTCTTCCTGCAAGTAGCCCATCATCTTCCCAGAAAACAACAAACAAAATTAAAAACATAATAAAGCTGCCATTTAAAACATCTCCAACTTACAGGAAAGTAATTCACAGAAAGTAATTACAGAGGACAAGTCAGTATTGGTATTTTTTATACATTCATGCAATCAGAGCACAAATGGGGAAAAAAGCACTTGTATTTACACTTACTCAGTTTTTAAAACCTTGTGTACATTGCCATCATTTAAAGTGCAAGCTACATTTCTGCTGAATTGACTGAAGGCATAACAGGTGAGATGGAAGTTAAAATACTGTCACCAGTAGTTATACAACTAACCACAGATGCCAGTAGCATTATTTCAAACCCTGACCAACTTAGTGTGTTACTTCCTCTTGTATATTACCAGCCAAACACATATTCCATTGCTTTAGATACAATACTTTCATCTTTCCTAGGAGTCTGTCTGTCAGAAACAACCTAGAAGACAGAGGGAGAGGAAGAAAGAAAATAAAGAGAATCAGTCAACAGACCTTTTTTTTAAATATTTTTTTTTCATTTCTTAAGTGCTACTATATTTTGACAAAATATGGTTGAAAGATATTCAAAACAAGCCCTTAACCTCAGGTGACAAGTCATTGATCCATTAGGTTTTATTTTTTATTTTAGAGACTGAAGACACAACAGGAGATGATAAAGGCTAATGTCACATTGAAGTCAATGTGTATACAGCCTCTTACACCTAAGGGGAGTTAACACAAAAGAAACACATGCTTCTATTTCCCATAAAATACCTGATAGTCACTACTGGAAGCTTTATACGCTGTTGCAAGAGGTCTCATTGTAGAAATCCTTGTGGTATTATTTGCAGGTTGTACTGGTGTGCTGACAGACTTTGTAGGTGGAGTGAAAACTGAAGGCATTGAGGATGTAGAGCTTCTTTCGAAGTTTTCCATGACACTCTTAGAAAGAGGGTTAATATAATGTAAACAAATCTCACAATGGTTTACATTTGAAAGCCTGCATTACTCTTTAGCAACAAGGCTTACTCTTAGAGGACACCAAAAAAACAACATGTGAACTAGTAAAGAATGACTGTCATTTGCTTAAGCTGATGTATAGTAAGTAGTCGATGCAGAGCGCTGCAAGAATTAATGGTGAGGGCACTGTCAATGCCTAGAAACTAACAGCTGAGGATAAAACTAGTCTGAAATACAGCCATGCCAACCCTAACCTGATAAGGTAAGGACATGTTCTGGTGGATGCAGCTGGGAGAACAGAACCAGGACTACCTTGCTAACGAATTTTCATTCTGATGTACTAAAATAAACAGCAATGCCAGAATCAGATACGTAGTCACATTAAAAAGAGGGACAACTAGGAGTAATAACAGCCTCGATCTGCCAGCATGTATCTATCACAGCACCCAGATGCCAGATATTTCAGTCGGGGAAACTTGTATCTCAACTGATTCCTGTTATGGTTTCACTTCACATCTTGTACAGCAATATAATTCTGTGCATTACAACTTCCAAGGAGCTAAGAGACTTCCCATAATGATCCTTCTCAGCAGAAAATTATGTCAAATACCGAAGAAAAACTCACATAAGGTCTAACAGACACTACCTATATAACTGAACTACCTATGCTGTGTTATTAAAAAATAATTAGAGGTCAGGGAAAATAAAGAGGATGCCCAAAAGCAGAGCACACTATACTTAAATAAAAGCAGATATTCACTTACTTTATCTATACATGGCTTGACACCAATCATGATAGATTCACCAAAAATTCTTCCATCTTTGCTTAAGGCTTTGCGGGCTTGAAGCTTAGACTGGTACCGAATATGCATCCAGTTTCCTGTATTGGACATCTGAATGGGATTAAGGAAAAACTGTCAAATTTAGCCTTTTAAAGAACAAACCAGAATGTTTTCAGAACTAAGTCTCAAACTAAGACATACCACATGCTTTAATATGTTTCCATACTGAGCAAACTGTAGAAGAATATACGAAGCTGATGCTTGAGGAAATCTGAAAGACAAAAAGTAATCAAAGAATTACAACGAGTAGTTTAATAATTCTGGTGTTAAAATACAGTGTTTTGAAGGGGATTTAGAACTCCAAAAAAGAGCAAAGTGTTACTGTCATTTTAGTATCAGTGAACTGAAAAATATTATGTACTAGGCACTTTTACTGCACCACATACCTCACTGGTTGAATGGCTATCATTCTAACTTGAGAAAATTAATATGTAGCTTAAGTTGAGGTGCTCCACTAAAATATATGTATTTGCTGGCTTTGACCACAGTTGTATTTCCTGTAGAACCTAGCAATGCCAGACATCAGCTATGTCCAAGCGGTTCTTCCCATAGGTTGAAAACTTCACCCTTGTTTTTTAAAATACTTTGAAAATCAACTCACCCAAACACAGTTACCCATGTGTCATCAAGTTGATCTTCTGAAGTCAGGGAATCGCCCTGAGTATAAAAAGGATCTAGCTGAGCAGGAGATAGAGTAGTCTTCCTAGGCTGCCCAATACTTACAGGACTGAACATAGCTGAAGCTGTTAAATTGAAATGACATTGTTTAACAACTTACTTTAACAACAGTTATCATCCTAAGAGCCTATACTAAAAAAAATAAATTCAGTATCAAGCATTTATCTTGTATATGGAAGAGTCTGTTGGAGATGTACTTGCAGACACAAACAGTAAGTCAATTTCCACTTCACAACTGCCAACATGCTATTAAGTTTTATGGTTAGCAACCTAGTTTTCTGCTCAACCTCTAAACACCAGCAGCTTAATACAGAAGCCAAACAGGAACATGACAGTGGAATTAAGCTTTGCAAGAAGCCATGGCTTCACACAAAAGATGGGAAGCCTTATGAAGATGGAAGGCAACCCATGAATCTCAGCTGTTTTACCCAAATACAGTCACCTCTGTGCTCAATTCAACAACAAATTCTGAATAAGGAGTAAAGTTGATTGAAGTTCAGTCACAGAGTGGTAAAGCATTTCCAATTCAAATCCACATACCTTTTGAAAAGCTAGTAAATAAACATGTAAATCCTTGACAAATGAGCAAGGAGATGAAGTAGCTTGCATAGTGCTTTTTGTGTATTAAGCAAAGCTTTAACAAAGTAATTTTATGTTTTGACAGAACATTTACCTGTTCCAGGAGTTGATGTCATAGTTCCAACCAGTGGGCTCTGTGTTAAAGAAAAGCTGGCCTGCATTAACATAAAGTAACACGTCATTCTTACAGGTACATTTATCAGATCAGAAGAGATCATTTTCAGCTAACTTAAGCATCCAGTAAGACAATCAACTGCCTTAAGTTACTCCTAATTTTTAAGAGTAAGGACAGATATTTACATGTATATTTAGTACAAGGTTATTAAAAGTTATTGGACAATGTTTTCACAGCCTAGCAGACAATAGCTTGGACTACTACATTAAGTAGTGCTCAACTACTGTATTTTGCAATTTCCAGCTGATTATTAAGCCTTAGAAAATAATGCAGTTAACTTTCCTACTCAGAGGCTTAAATGCAAGTACCAGAGATGGTGTCGGTGTAGACCAAACCCCAGGAGGGAAGCACCACAAACACAGGAAACAGGGTCTGCCTACAGTATTTTATCATCTAGCAAGAGCTACTAGTAAGCAAAAAGACAGTTTATTCAGGCTTAAGGTGAGTTTTCTGAAACAGGAAATGAAACATCCACTACTTAACACCAATCACACACGCTTTGTGAAAGCAAGTAGCTTTAGGTATCAAGACTCAGAAACATTCTAGACTAACTTTTATCGAAATAGGCATTGCACTATTGCTGTAGTATAGTAATTCACACAGTCAGGTGCATCCTGATGGAAAGTATGTCAGTATCCTAAGCTACTCACATCTGATTTTCAGTGTCTTAAAGGCTTAGAACTCAAGGGAGCACATCCCCCACTTGTATTCCTTTTCACTAGACTTACTGTCCCTCTCAACTACTTAGTGCAAGCAAAGGGAAGGAAAGTATACTTAAGATTTTTAGCTGCTAGTAGTTATTTTCTTTTTAAGACAGAAGGATTTCAATATCCAAAACAACTGCAGTGTATTTTTACCCTCAATTGTGGCATTTAGTAGATAGGAGACCAAACCAACTAGAGCACCTGCAGACCTAGCAACATGCATTCCAACTGACACACTGGGTCAAATATCGTGTCTTTTAAGACAGTTCTGGATTCTGTCCTTCACAGAGAGTTTGAACTTGCAAAATAAGCATTTCAGAAGGCAACACTCAAAAGAACTCTACTCGTTTAGGGAAAGGTCACCTCCTTGTATCAAAAGAATGATGCTCACTGAAAAAGAATCCACTAACGCTTGACTGCTCAGCTGAGTAAAGCAGTTGTGCTTAATATTAGAAAGACCTTCTAGATATTTTACTATTATTTTTTCAAAATAGACCCCATGTCCCTGCCTGAAGTTTGATTAGATACTCTACTCAGCACAAAATTCCTCCTGTTTCAGGAAGTGCCTCTATTGCCCACTAAAAGAAAACACATACTTGGACCTTTCTGGCAATCAGCAGCCCAACAAACTTACAAGAAGGTGAACTACAGGAAATGGCCTCAAATTGTGGCAGGGGATGTTTATATTGGATATTAAGAAAAATTATTCACTGAAAGGGTTGTCAGGCAGTGGAACACGCTGCCCAGGGCAGTGCTGAAGTTACCATCCCTGGAGGTAGTTAAAAGATGAACAGATGTGGTGCTAAGGGAGATGGTTTAGTGATGGACTTGGCAGCACTGTGTTAACAGTTGGTCTTGATCATCTTAAAGGTCTTCTCCAACTAAAACAATTCTGTGACCTTGTGTGAAGAGTAAGCCAGTATCTAAACCACTTACTGGTCTTCTTGAGGTTAGAGGTGTCGATCCAAGTCCAGGACTAGATAATTCATCATATATGCTTCTAACTGGTGGAGCCCCACTTTTATCTTTATGTGTAGGGACTACTGGTTGTGGGGGAGATCCTCCTGCAATTAAAAAGAACAACGCAAGATCTCACTGGTTCCCCCCTTTCTATTATCCATGCTTTGCAGCTACAGTAACCCCTTTTAAAAGCCACTAGGTGAAACTCACATCACTGTTTACCATTTCATAAATATTTTACTCAGGAGCTTGTATGTGGAGGGGATCAGAGGGATAAGGGAAAAGGGCAAGAAGCAGGAGACTAACAGACCACCAATCACAGAGTATATCACGTTGGAAGGGACCCTTAGACATGGTTCTACTGGTAAGTGAAATAAAAGAACATCTAAAATTATCTTGCAGTACTTTAACCCTCAAATGACTAGCACACTAACACCATTAATTATTCCAGTTACACCAACTGATTTAATACAACAGCAAAGGTCGCCCATTAAATGCAATTAATCAATAAAGCTGTAAATAACTCAACCTTCTCAGAACAGAAAACCAACATACTCTACCACCGTCTTGGTATAAGTCTGGCAACCTGTGGCTTTTCAGACATCACTGAAAAGAAATCAGCAGCTTGCAAAAGCTGTATTTAGCTTGCCAGCAGATGTCTGTTTCAAGTCATTTTCAAATTCAGTGAAAACACTGGTGCCTCTGTATGCAATCATCTTGTAAAGAGCTACTGAAACTGACTTGGTATCAGAAGAGGTTCAGGTTAACTTCCCTGTAAAAGCAACCTTGAGCTCATTTACAGCAAGTAATATAATTACCAGAACTCAAGTCTGCAGTAATCATGCAGAGCAATAAGGCAAAGCAAATTTTTACATTCAGGACCATTTTTGAACAGTAACAAATTCTGACCTGCAAGTAGTGGAGACCTCATTTCCATGACACCTACTGAAGGGCCACTTAAAGCTCGTGGTTGTGGCGTCACCGGCGCAGGTAAGTCCCCCATCAGGAACCCAGGAAGAAACTGAGCGCTAGCGCCTGGTTTTGGCGACGTGGGGGAGCCAAGAGTCATTGGCTCAGCTCCTGGGGTAATGAAAACAACATTTAAAAACACGGACAAAGCCACATGACCGAACCTCTTCCATGACTTAATCAGTGGTTCGATTAAAAAAACGTGAAGTAGCACTAAGTGCCTAAGACGGTTCTGTCGTATTTTCCAAGCAAACAGTTGATCACAATCTTGCACTTTTTGTAACTACAGCGTTGGCGTTTGGGCTGCTTTAAAGGCGTTCCCCCCCGCAAAAGCCACCACGCCAAGGCTGGGCTCTCCTTCCCGGGCCAGCCGGCTCCCCGCCCGGCCTGGGGAACGCGTTTCCACGGAGCACCCCGGCCCTGCCGCCCAGCCCCGGCCCCGCCGCCTCCGCCCGCGGC